AAAACTGTAATTTCATCCAGGGCAGGGCCTAGGCCCTGCCCCAAGAGTCCCGGCTGAGAGAGCCTCCCATACTGTGGCATGGGCACTTAAAGTCTCTTTGTACGCCATCTTTCTTTCTTTTAATGAAATTGTGTACAGAAGTTTGGAGTATATAAGTTGAAGATAATGTCTTCTTGGTTAACTGTTTCCTTGATTATAATTGTGTCCTTTGTCTCTTCCAATTAATTTTAGTTTGAAGTCTATTTTGTCAGATATTAGGAGAGTGGTATCTGCTTGCTTCCTGATTGTTTGACTGGAGTATTTTTGTCCAGCCTTTTACTCTAAAGCTGTACCTATCTTTACAATTGTGTTTCTTGTAGACAACAAATAGATGAACTTTGTTTCTCGATTCAGTCAGTCAACCTCTATCTTTTGATTGGAGAATTGAGGCCATTACTATTTAAGGTTATAATTGAAAGGTGTGTGTTCAATTGCAGTCATTGTATTATTGATTTTTAGTGTTGATCTTTGTGTCCTTAATGGTTGTAGTTTAGTAATTATAAGTTTTTCTTTCTTTCTTTTTGTTTGTTCCTTCCTTCCTTCCCTCCTTTCTACAATCTCTATGCTCATTCCTTTTTTTGTTGTTGTTGGTTTTGTTTTGTTTTTTTTTGGGGGGGGTTTTCGAGACAGGGTTTCTCTGTCCTGGAACTTGCTCTATAGACCAGGCTGGCCTCAAACTCACAGAGATGTGACTGCCTCTGCCTCTAGAGTGCTGGGATTAAAGGCATGAGCCACCAACGCCCAGCTCATTTTTTTTTTAAGTCCAAAACGTTTCTTCTTGTATTTTCTTTAAGTTTGGTTTGTTGACCATACTTTTTTTCAGGCTACTTATATCATGGAAAGTGTTTCTCCTTCAACAAAGGCAAATAGTTTTGCATAATATATTAGCCTAAGTTGGCTGTCCTCGTCATTTAGCACTTGGATTGCATTGCTACAGGTTCTTCTGCCTTTCAAAGTTTCCACTGAAAAATCAGTTGTTATTCTGATGTTTTTTTAATATGTGATTTTTTTCTTGCAACTCTCAATATTCTTTGTTCTGTATACTTAAGTGTTTTAACTATGATATGCCAAGAGGATCTTCTTTTCCAGTCTTTTATTTCGTTTCTATATGCTTCTTGTGTCTGTATGGGTACATCTTTCCTTAGTTTGGGAACGTTTTCTGTGATCTTTTTTTGTTTGCTTGTTTTGAGACATGATTTCTCTGTGTAGCCTTGGCTGTCCTGGAACTTGCTCTGTAAACTAGGCTGGCTTCAAACTCAGAGATCAGCATGCCTCTGCCTCCCAAGTACTGGAATTAAAGGTGGTCCAGACTACCATCTCTGGACTTATGTGATCTTGTTGATGCCATTGACCTGAGGTTATTTTCCTTTGTCTATTCCTCTAACTCAAAGGCTTGTTTGTTTGTTTTTTTTCATGGTGTCCTGTATTTCCTGTATGTTTCTGCCTTGTGGTTTGTTTATTTAAAGATAGTGTTTCTTTGAGTAGCCTTGACTGTCCTGGAAATGAGTTCTATAGACCAGACTGGCTTTAAACTCACAAAGATCCACCTGCTCCAAATGCAGGAATTAAAGGCATGCACCACCACTGTCCAAAGGATTTTCTAAGTTTTTCATAGTCTTAGTTTCATATAGCCTGTCCTTTATCTTCAAGTACTGATATTCTGTCTTTTGGCTGATTCATTCTACTTGTAATGCATGCCATTGAGTTTTCTAATTGGGTTATTCTGTTTTTCAATTCCATTTTCATTTCAGTTTGAGTCCTCTTCTGTAGAGACAAGCCTTTTCCTTGCCACCGCTTTGGTCCCCGGCCCCCCCAGTCACCTGGGCTCTGCCGCGTTGTAGTTCCCAATGAAGCTGTTAGCCTTGCTTGTTTCTTACTGGCTAGCTCTGACTTAAGTATTTATCCCATAATTGTTAATCTAAGTATTTCTCTTACCGGAGAAGTTTCCGGGCTTCTTATCCCTATGGCAGTTACATCTTGACTTCCTGTGTTTCTCCTACCCAGAGTCCTCCTCGACTCCTAGTCCCACCTATCTTGCTTCCCTGTTGGCCAACAGTGCTTTATTGGCATATACACAGGACTTCCCCCATCAGTCTTCAATGTTTTTCGTCTTTGAACTCCATTTTCAAATCCTAGATAGATAATTGTCATTTTCATCAGCCTTGTTTGTATTTTCTTGGGCATCACTCACACTGTCTTCTTTGGTGAAGTTTATGATGTTTCTTTTAAATTCTGTGTCCTGGAGTCCAACCAGGTAATTCTCATTGGCAAACATTTCTACATTACTGATCAGTTTTGAGGGAAGATACTTGCTCTTTCATATTGTTTGCATTTTTGTGATGAGATCTGGACATGTAGACTTCTCTTGTTAGTTCTGTGTCTGATAAGGACAAAGCAGGTTGGATCCAAAAACAATGTACAGGTTAAGTTGAGCCTAGAGACTGGATATGTTTTAGGTGGAATGAAGTCAGGTGAACTCAAAGGTCTGTGTTGGTATGCATGATGTATACCATCAGCCAAGCCTGAGTTTAAAGGAAGATTTGGGTTTGGGAAGAGTTTGTGGGTCAAGCAAACTCACCTGGCTAGACTCTGGTGAATGTGCAGGATTTGGCTGGGTGGAGAGGTTGGATATGGTGTGGGAGGAGCCAGTTGGTTAAGAGGAATCAGTCTGCTTTCTTATATAACTCAGGACTATCTGCTCAGGGTTGGCACTGGTCCCCGTGAGCTGGGCCTGCACACACGAATCATCAATCAAGAATATGCCCTACAGACTTGTCTACAGGCAATCGGGAAGAAGGCATTTTCTCATTTGAAAATTCCTCTTCCCAGATAACTCTAGTTTGTGTCAAGTTCACAAAGAAGCTAGCCTATACAACTACACAAAAGAAAACTCGAGAATAAACTCCAGAAATTGCACAGAAATCCTTCTGTAGTTACAGGGTGGGTCCCAAAGATCCAGCAGGGAATAGCTTATCAGAACTTGGATGGTAAGACACTATTGCTGCCATGCGTGGGTGGCGCACGCCTTTAATCCCAGCACTTGGGAGGCAGAGACAGGTGGATCTCTGTGAGTTTTGAGACAAGCCTGGTATACAAGAGCTAGTTCCAGGACAGCCTCCAAAGCTACACAGAGAAACCCTGTCTTGAAAAACAAAAACAAAAAAAGATTCTATTACTGAGGCCAACACAAGGTCTGGTTACAGAATATACTGAAATCAAGCTTCCTCCATGCTGGCTTTTTACAGTTCCAGAAGATGCTTTATAGGCTGGAGAATTGTCATTGGCAGTCCTACTGAGTTATGGGCCGTGTGCTACAGTACTAGCATGCCAGGCAAGATGTGCCCATTTGTATTATATTGGCATTACTGTTATACGATAATCAACTGTTTTTTGGTTGGATTTGAGGCGTGTTCCAAAGGGGGAATAGTACTGTAAATCTGGACAAACATATCTGGCCTCAGAGGTCATGGGTCCCAGTGGAGAATCTACTACAGGGTTTTGTTTTTGGAGGGGTGTCTAATATGGACATGATATACCTGTCAAACAGACAGTTACACTGCATGCTATGGTTAGAAAGCTTCTTTGTACAGTGTGCAGCAGTTACTGCAGAATCAAGTCTGAGAATAAATGTGAGCCTGCCCTAGATGGACCATCTTCTATTCACATCTAGAGTACAATGGATAAGCCTTACTCTGGGAAAATCACCTTCAAGATCATGTTATCTCTCCTATCAGGCAAGTATTAGATAGGTCATCTAGGTATTCCATTCCTAGGCTCAGCAAAAATTCATGGGAGAGGAGACAGAGTGAATCTTGTGGAGCACTGTCTTCCGGGCATGGCATGGCTGTTGCATTCATGAGCTCTCATCCGCTGTGATTTTCCATATAACACTAGGTCCATCAACATTATGTTATGGGAAGAGCTCACAAATCTGCCCCTTCCTGAGAATTTATAAGCAGTTAATGGCCGGGGCAGGAGACCCATCCTGGCTGGCTCATCAGATCCCACACATCCCTGAAGATCTATAGGCAACTAATGGCTCTTAGGAGAGGGAGAGATAATTTCTTCACTGGTATAGCCACTGGTAAAATTGTCCATACAACTTTAACCCCTCACCCATGCTGTGTGTAAATGTCCTGATCAAACTAATTAATTCACAAGAAAAAGACATGAAAATATAGAGGCTGTCCTGGAACTTGCTCTGTAAACCAGGCTGGCCTCGAACTCAGAGATCCGCCTGCCTCTGCCTCCCAAATGCTGGGATTAAAGGCATGCGCCACCAACGCCCGGCTTTAAACCTTGGTTTCTTACAGTCAGAACTTCATAAGTGAATGGGACATCCCAGTCTATCACAAACTGAACTGTTCCCACTCTCTCCAGTTACTAATTCACCAAAAAGGGAAACTGCCACCCACTTGATAAAGGAACCAGGAATTCACTTGAAAAAGGTTTTTACCTTTTTTTTCATGTGCATTGGTGTGTTTTTGCCTGCATGTATATCATGCCTGCTTGAGGGTGTTGGATCTCCTAGAACTGGAGTTATATACCGTTGCCAGCTGTCCTGTGGGTGCTGGGGATTGAACCTGGGTCCTCTGGAAGAACAGCCAGTGCTCTTAATCGCTGAGCCATCTCCTCAATCTCCTCAGCCCCAGGATTTTACCTTTTAAGGCAGTATCCAAACATACACATAGATTTCCTATTCTAAAAAAAATGTAATAAAAGGATTGATTTTTCACCTGATAGCCCAGCACACTTAATTCAAGGAAGGCTCTAGGGCAGACCAGACAGAGCTGGGTGGGGAAAAACATTTGTCAGCAAGTTCTATCTGGTGTTACATCTCCAGACCATATGGTAGGAGAGAACAGACTTCTGCAGTAGGTTGTCCTCTGACTTCCACACTGGTATAACATATGCATACCCCTACATACACAAATGTTTTTACAAAGTTTAAAGACAAAACATGACATTGTTAAAAATATTTATTTTGACAGTCTAGTGTAAGTCAGCACAGGCTCCACTCTTCGTTGAAATGAAGTCTCTTATCCAGTCAGAGGACACACCTTCCATGTTGGATGGCTTCCAAATTCAGACGACCAAACAGTCCTTTATCCCCAGAGCAGGCTAAAGCATTTGTGAAGAAGAAAAATAAATTAAACACGGAAACACTTTCCACGAAAAGCTGGAGAACCAGGTCTTAGATTCGTGTTTCCTTATCAAACAGCGACTAGAGGATAAGAATCTATCGGCAGACAAAATAAGCAGCAAAACAACAAACACACAGAAATACAGTTTTGTTACTGTTTAACACGGTTACCTTGAGAAACACAAAGGAAAATTGCAGTTTATATATAAAATGAAGTCAATCAAAAGATAAATGATTAATGATAGATAAACGAATGATAAAACAGCAAAAAAAAACACCTTTTCCTAAGTACTTTCTATGAGTCAGACTCTGTGGAAGTGCACATCCAGTTGGCATTTCTGCTTCTGAACTACCATAATTCTGACAGTGAAAGGGCTACAGCATAGAGGAGGAATGAGATGTAACCTTAACTACTCACATCCCTAGAATCAATTAGCCACTATTTCCACTTCTACTATTCCTATCCAAATGTTTAATTCAAGAAGAGGCACACACTCCCATGTCACTTGTTAAAGGGAGAGAGGGGGACCCAGATCCAAGAAAGAAAAGAGATGTGATTCATGTCTAAATCTTACTGATTAAAAATGTGACTTGTCAGGCATTGGTGGCACATGCATTCAATCCCAGCACTTAGGAGGCAGAGGCAGGCGGATCTCTGTGAGTTCGAGGCCAGGCTGGAACGACAGCCTCCAAAACAATACAGAGAAACCCTGTCTCGTAAAAACCAAAAAAAAAAAAAAAAAAAAAAACATAATTCTGAAGAGGAATGGTAAAAAAAAAAGCGCAATTCTGGGTTGGGGGGGCAGAACAGGCAACTCAAGAAAATCTTTCTAGTCAGTCTCCTCAGCACAGTGGACAAAATTAATAATGGAACAATTCTTCAGAGGCAACCAATTTTTTCCCCCAGACAGGGTCTCATCTAATCAGGCTGACCTCAAACTCACAATGTAGCTGAAGGTGACCCTAGATCTTTAATCCTCTTGCCTGCACTTCCAGGAAATCAGACTACAGATCTGACCCACTATGCCTCATTTACTTACGCCAGGGATTGAAAGTTAGGCAAGCACGCTACTAACTAAACCAAACCAAAACCTTCACTTCGTTAAGGGAAGATTTTTCTCAGCACAAAACAGGAAAGAGCATGAGAAGACAGGGTGAAAAAATGAAATGCATTCAGGAGGCTGCTCCATCTAGGCCGCAGTTTTGAGGAGTCAAAATCTGCGGAACAGCAGAAGGGTACCATCCCACTTGTGGACGCTAATCGCCTAAGAAGCAAGGGCAGTGGAGCAGCTATTCTACATGCTTATCGGACACACGAGTGTCTAACAAGTAAGCAACAAGCAGATCATGAAAGACTGAAAAACACAGACATGGGACCTGCTTCAACAGAGAAAAAAGGAAGAAAGATTCAGCAAGAAGACTTGAGATTGGGGTTTTCTAGAAGCAGGTTTCACCAGAAGGGACTGAGTGGGAAAAGCATTCCAGATGTTAGGAGCACATATCTTTGCTTATCTGACATGAGCATTGCCAGACCATCGTATAGCAAAAAAAAAAAAAAAAGTTTCCTTAAAAAAAAAAAAAACTGGGATACCCAGGTGGTAGTGCTTGCCTTTAATCCCAGCACTAACGAGGCAGAAACAGGTGGATCTCTGTAAATTCAAGGCCAGTCTGGTCTATGTAGCAAATTTCAGAACAGCCAGGGTTATATAGAGAAACCATATCTCCAAAACCAAAAACAACAACAAAAAACTATTAGTCGTTTATTGATCAAATTGCCTGACAAGTGGCGTTAATATTTACATAAAACATTGTTACTCATTTCTTATGGCAACCTAATTTAGGAGGTATTATACCCAAACTATAAAAGGGGAACCACAGCTCTGAAAGCTTAATGGGCTCTTGAGGAAACATTCTTGATACTTCCCAGTATTTGGTTACCTTGTTTTTTTTTTTTTTTTTTGGTCTTTTTGTTATTTTGTCTTTTTTTTTTCCAGAGCTGAGGACCGAACCCAGGGCCTTGCGCTTGCTAGGCAAGCGCTCTACCACTGAGCTAAATCCCCAACCCCACTTCCCAGTATTTGGAAAATATTCACATAGCTTGATCCAGCAGTGATATCTATGCAATGTGTCTTAAGTGAATGTTTCTCTAAAGACATAATTGGTTTGCAATCACTAGGCCAGTCAAGAGCAGACATACTATCTCACTCTTTTTTTTTTCTTTTTTTTTTTTTGGTTTTTATGGAGACAGGGTTTCTCTGTATTGTTTCGGAGGCTATCGGTCCAGCCCGGCCTCGAACTCACAGAGATCCGCCTGCCTCTGCCTCCCGAGTGCTGGGATTACAGGTGTGCACCACCACCGCCCGGCACTATCTCACTCTTATTTCACAGGAAAACAAATACTTAGTTCAAGGAATCAAGGTTAAGAAAAAGGGACTAGGACTGGAGAGATGGCTCAGAGGTTAAGAGCAGTGACTGCTCTTCCAGGGGTCCTGAGTTCAATTCCCAGCAACCACATGATGGCTCACAACCATCTACAATTCAATCTGGTGCCCTCTTCTGGCATGTAGGCAGAACACGGTATATGTAATAAATAAATAAATCTTAAAAAAAAAAAAAAAGAAAAAGGGACTAACTTAATGTGGAGCTGTGAAGGCAATTTTAAGAAGTCATTCAATGAGTCGAATTCCTGTAATCCTAGCACTCAGGAAGCTGAGTTCAAGGCCAGTTTGGGATAAACAAGACTTTGCCTCAACTCCCGTTACTCTCATCCCTCCTGCTAAAATAAAACCACACAAGAAAAGGAAGCTGTGTCAAAACAGACCAAAGGAAAGAATAAAGTAAAGAGGGCTGGAGAGATGACTCAATGGTTAAGAACACTGGCTGTTCTTCCAGAGGTCCTGAGTTCAATTCCCAGCAACCACATGGTGGCTCACAACCATCTGTAATGAGATCTGATGCCCTCTTCTGGCCTGTCTGCATACATAATAAAAAAATAAATAAATCTTTTTAAAAAAAGAATAAAGTAAAGAAATAAAAAAGTGAGAACCATCTATTGAGAATTTTAATAGGAAAGACTTCAACTGCACAATGGTTAAGTCATGGACATGAGTGGTGGGTACTCTTCAAAAGCAAAATCTCTTCTGAAAAAAAAAGACAGCAGTAAGCAGAGGAGTAGAGAAAATTTGTATCACACAGCACAGGAAAAGTTGGTAAGATAACTTACAGTAGGCTATGCAACCCTGTGCATACTATATAGGCTTTGGAGATACTCTATTACCTACCAGCTGTGTGTACTGCTCTGGAGGTACCAAGTGACATCTACAGACAAAACATACAAAGCACCTTGTAGGTGACCATGAGTAATATAATATTACTGCAAACTGCAATAATAAGTTAGAGGGGTTGGAAGTGTGGCTCTTAGTGGGAGAATGCTTGTCTGCCCTGCACAAAGCCTTGGGTTCAATCCCTCAGCACTCCCAAAGAAAGAAAAAGAAAGAAAATTTGAAATTTGAAGTACTTCTAGCATGAGTATTTCAGACAAGGAATACCCAATCTGCCCATTTTTTTAAAAAGGCACTTTTGGTCCATTCTTTAAAAACAAGTGACTTGCAAGAAGGTTTGAAGAAACTGAAACCCTGGTATATCAAGTAAGGCTGTTTCAGTAACAAGGGATGTCTGTGAAACAGTTGAGCTGTCTCAGCACCGCTGTCGTGGTCTCGGTCACAACAGTGGCTGGCACACCAGCCCTCCAGATCACGCCTACCTGTTTAGACTGCTTTCACAAAAATATTTATAAAGCATTGACACACATGTGTATCGTTTTCACAAGCACAAACACAAAGATCTACTGACCAGCCTGAAAGAACACTGTAGGTGACAGAACCTTTTAAGAGGCAGAGCTCTGGGGAGGAAGAAATCATGGGGCATGTCCCTCAAGCTGAAACTCTTGCCCATCTCCCCTTGGCTTCCCCACCACCAGGCGGTGGAAAGGCACCCTCTCGCTCCTACTACTGCCATGGACTGTGCACCAGGATCAAAGCAACAGGCCAACGCTTCTAAAATATGAGCCAAATAAACATTTCTCTTTATAAACTCACTGACCAGGTCACAACAAAAAGTGGACTAATAGATGAACACACACACACACACACACACACACACACACACACACACACACTGTGTGCCTGAAATTTTCAAATAGCTTACACAATACCAACAAGACTGTTTCTAGGTAACAAACATGACAATCAATTTGGGAGCTATATGTATTAACAGACTTCAATTTATTGATCTCAAAAGAACTTACTATGAAGAAATAAAATCAACAAAAGCTATGAGCATTAAAATGCTTGAGGAGCTGAAGAGGTAACTCAGAAATTAAGAGCACTGGCTGCTCTTCCAGAGAACCAGGATTAAATTCCCAGCACTATAAACAAGTTTACAACTGTCTGTAATTCCAGTTCCAAGGGATCTGACAACCTCATCTGGTCTCCATGGTCACAGGCACGCACATGGTGCAGACATAAATGCAAGCAACATAGTCATACACAGAATAAAATAATCAACAACAACAATAATTTTTAAAAGTTATGTTGTTATACATATCTTAAGTAATTGACAAGTGAAAAATACATAGTTTAGTAATTTTAATTTTAGGTGAAATTACATGTATCTCTGTTAGACTATGATATAAAAGGTTACCCTTCCATGTAGTAAGATGATAAACTAATTCTTTTTAGAATGTATATCATTATGATTATAACATAGTAAATAAGGATGGGGAGAAAGCAAAGCAGTTACACTGTAATTAATATAAACTGACTAATCTACAATTTTTTTTCCAACAACCAAAAGACTACAGTGACTGGTGAGATTATGAGTCAACACTTCCCAATGATTCAACACCAATTAATGTCTAAGCATCTGCCCTCAAAATGTTAATATTCAAGAGCAATACCTTAAAACTGATGGTTCAGGCATTCCAGGATCTGCACCCCTTGTAAATCCTGAAGGGAAAAATAAAAATGTTCAAATAAAACAAATACAACTTTAGTAGACAAAATGCCTACAATTACTTCTCTTTCAATCCGATCTGGGATCACTGTCTCAAGTGACCTGTGCTGCTGAAAGGTTCTGATTTCCACCAGACTGTGGAACAGATGCAGGACTTCTCAGGAGGAAGGACAGTGTTTCAACTGTACACAGAGGGGTCTCTCTAACACGCTCTGCCTCCACGCAGGTATCCTGTTACAAAGGACTGTTACAAGGCCCAGACCACACTGGAAGTCTACAGAGCATAAAGATGAAAGTATTCTTTCTCTGAAAGTATAATTGGGGATATCTTACTTTATTTTCCACAAACTACTCTCTTTATAAAGCAAAGACGAGTGATGGAAAAGGAGGGAGAAGTCATTTAATATTATTTCCCACCTATTTAGATTAATACATACTAATTACAAGTTCAAGTAAATAAAATCTTTACTATTTAAATAGAATTTACTCAGATACACACACAAACTAATTTGCTGAATAACTAATTAAGAATTTCAAGAACTGAAGGGCTAGGGATGGTAGCCAGCACTGGGGAGTCTAAGTTTGGTGAGGAAAAAAAAGCCACACACCTGTGAGGGACATCAATTGTATCCTACTTTCAAGCAACAAACTAACCTACTGGTTTCAGATACTGGAAGACAACAAAAGATTCTGGGTCAGGCATACACAAAGGATTCCTTCTCAACAGTAGCTGGAGTAAGAATATCAGTTTTGCTTCAGTAACCTAAGACACAATGCAAAACCCCAAACAAAGAGGGCCAAACAGTGGCCGAATGTGTACAAGACAGGACACCTGAGTTTGGCAACCAGAACCTTTTATAATAGTCTGTAAGCATGTCTCTGAAGAGAGGTGCTATTTTCCCAAAGCTGCCTGATTTATGAACACCCTCCAAAGATGATGTAGAATAGTCATCAGAGTATGAGCTAAGAGCTACAGAAAGGCAGGAAACTCTAGAAAGTTATTTTCCAATGGTAGATGACAAGACCTATTGTTGTGCTGGGTGTAGTATCACATGCCTTTAATCATGCACAATAACAGGCAGATATCTGTGAGTTCAAGGCCAGGTTGGTTCTCATGGCCTGGCTAGCCAAGGCAACACAGTGAGACCTTGTCTCAATAACAAGCAAAAAAACTTTTTGTTGGTAAATGTTCCAACAGATTCTTTATTACAATGTCACTTTCTGTCGTACTCTATAGTACTATCCATCATGAAGCACTACAAGGAATGCTTGAAAATAAATTATAGCTGGGCTTAGTGACACTTTTTATCCCACCACTCTGGAGGCTGAAGCAGGTGGATCTCTGTTAGTTTGAGGCCAGACTGATCTACAGAGTCCCAGAACACATACATAACAAAGAAACCCTATCTCAAAAATGCAAATAATAGGTGGGCAGTGGTGGTATACACCTTTAATCCCAGTGCTTGGTGGGTAGAGGCAAGAGGATCTCTGAGTTCAAGGCCAGTCTGATTTACAGAGCTAGTTCCAGGACAGCTAAGAGAAACCCTGTGGCCGGGCATTGGTGGTGCACGCCTTTAATCCCAGCACTTGGGAGGCAGAGGGCAGAGCCAGGAGGATCTCTGTGATCTGTGAGTTCAAGGCCAGCCTGGTCTACAGAGCGAGTTCCAGCACAGCCTCCAAAACAATACAGAGAAACCCTGTATCAAAAAACTAAAAAAAAAAAAAAAGGGAGGGGGGGGTAAGAAACCCTGTCTTGGAAAACAAAACAAAACAGTAATAATAAGACAGGAAAAAAATTATGTAAGAAGTTAGTCTGCAATTTCAAATTTTAGTGAGAGAAGCTAGAGGTATAGAACCTGAGAAGTAGCTTGAACATGAAATTAAAGTCACATCAGTGTATAGGAAAAGACATGATAAATAGGAGTAAGTACTGACATGCAGCCCTATTATCGTCAGTCTTAAACAGCCTGACTTGGATGCTAGAGTGAAAATCATTTCCAAGACAAGTCCTAGGAAAGGTACCAATGTGCACCATTCAGGCCTCAGAGGCAAGATTCTGACACGTTGCTACAGCTTCCAGCTAAAACAGAATCTCAGTGTAGACATAGCTGTGCAGACCTGCAAACCATTATTCACAAGTTGAAGGCAGGAGGATCTTGAGGTTACAGACAAGCCTTCCTAGGCTGTATGTAAGGCCTCATCTTGGGATGGGAGATGGGGTAGGGTGAGGCAGAGAAAGAAATTCCAAAAGAGCCCAAGACACCTGTAATTCCAATGACACCATAGACTGCGACAGGGTTTCAAGTTCAGCCAGCCTCACCTACAGAGAAACTATGAAAATCAGGGGAGGGCTGCAAAGAATCCTATAGACAGACAACACAGCCTACAAAAATTAAACTATCAGCAGGGGCAGGAGGATTGCTGCAAAGACCAGCCTGGTGTACCTACTGACAGTCAGAGCTGTCTCAAAGCAAGTAACAAAAAAAGCAGGCTGTCACAATTATGTGCTTTAATCCCTGGTGCCTATATAATGCCATTATCTGGTCTTGTTTCAAAACACAGGGAGGTGCAGGCCTGCGATTCCAGCACTTGAGAGGTAGTAGAAAGGAGAGGTCAAGGCTAGCCTGGGCTACATGAGGCACTGTCTCAACAGTGATACTAAAGGGAAAATATCTTAAGTTCTATCACACAAGTTATCACAGCTCACACACATCTCGCAGGTACAGCATCTGCCTGGAGAATGTCTACCCCAGTTCAAGGCTCTACCGATGAATGCATTATCCTATATAGCGCAAGTCAACTAAAACAGGCTGGAAGTAGCACCAGTGAGGTCCTACGTTGACATGTGAAATGGAAATCCTGAAATGCCAAATTAAGCATTCAAGCCCAGGGAGCCGGAGCCAAAATCCTATGCTGTTTTCCCTTTCACGTTCTTGACTGAATGAAGTAACTGAGATTAAAAACGGAAAAATACTACTCAGCCAGGAAGGGGATAAGATCCAGTGTGCAACCCTTGGTGAATATATTTCCAAGGAAGGTATGACTTTATGGCTCGGTTAATTTCCCTGAAATATGCGATCAGTAACTTTTGAGGAGAAAAAAGAATCACCAAAACCTCCTTATAAAAAGTAAGAAAGCTTAGGCTTGCCACTTCGAGGCAGTGAGGTTTTAACCTGATCTAGCTTCTTTCCGCGGAGGTCAACCTACAGAAGGAGACCGCGCTCCGAAAGCCATACTAGGGGGTTGATCTTTCCTTAGGGGGTCATCTAACCCCACAACCAATCCGGAAAGGTCTTGCTTTTATTCTCCAGATGCAAGTACTGAATACGAGGGGTTGTGACCGGTGAAATGCCACCCACAGCGTTAAAGGAAGGTTCTCCAGCCCGGCCAGACAGCTTCAGACATGAGGACAACGCGGTGGCCCGGTTTATTGTCCCCGCCCCGGAAGACCAGAAACGAGTCTCCCAGACCCCCCGACCCCTGCCCTGCGGCTCCTCCCAAGCTTCTCTCCCACTGACCCAGGTAAATCACAAGAGGAATAAAGCCCCAGCGGATGGCAAACTGGCCGCCTTTGAAGAGCTGCTGCAGCCTTTGTTTGGCCTCTTTGCTCAGCTTCACCATGGCGACGACGGACCCGAGGAACGAGAAGGCCCCCGCAACAACGAGCGTGTCCGGATTCCGCCAAGGGGAGAGGAGCGGCGCATGCGCCACGTGCGACCTTTACGGCAGGAGTCGTGACGCCTCGGCGGCAGCGGCCGTAACTCGTCGTCGCCCTTCGCCTCGCCGCCAGGGGGCGGCGCGTGCGCTGCTGGCTGGCTGCGCTCCCCTCATGTTCGTTTGTTAGTTTGGGGTGTGAATTGGGCTTTTTTTTCCCCCCTTGGGGGAGAGGGAGGTTTGGTCTTGTGTTTAGAGACAGGCTCTCGCTGTTTAGATCAAGCTGTCCTCGAACCCGCGAGGCCCTCCTGCGTCTGCCTACCGAGGCTTGGGGGATTCAGGGTGCGCACTGAGTTTGTCGCCTGCTTCCCTGGTTCCTGGAGGATGCAGAAGGCACGCATTTGGGGCTTTCTTTTGCCTGGAACTACTATTTTTTGTACCATAGTTCTTCCCCATTTGAAAGCATATCTCCCAGTGTTCTTTCTTTGAGAGAGAAGGGATTCTAATGAAATTCCAAACAGCAAAGTTTCGGTCTGATTCGGTTTAATATTCTGTGTTATCTTGGATAAGTTCTTTAGCAACATTCCAGAACCAGTTTCTTAAAGCCAGAGTGGTATGACTGCCTGAAAGGTTAAGAATGAGCCCTCGCTCAATAGGACAATCTCCAGGCTTTCTTGCTCCTTTGCACGCATGCTCTGTAGTTTTGTTGGTTTTCTGAGACAGGGTTTCTCTGCTTGGGGAACAGTGGAACAAACAAAACAAAACAGGCCAAAGAAAGCCCCAAGCAACCGGGGAAGCAGGGAGAGCCCTGGCTGTCCAGGGACTCTGTAGACCAGGCAGGCTGGCCTTGAACTCAGGGACCCACGGCTTTTGCCTCTAAAGAGTGCTGGCACTAAAGGCGTGCATTTACCACCGTATGGCCTGTGGTCTTTTTCACTTCCCAACATTTTCAAATTGGGAAATTTCACACGAAATTCCAGGTTTGTCTGTTAACAACAGGTTCATACTGTGTAACCTTGGCTGTTCTAGAACCCTTCTGCAAAGTCCAGGCTGACCTCAAACTCACAGTGACCTGCCTCCCTGGTGCTAGGATTAAAGGTTGTACCACCATGCCTGACCTTTGGCCCAAGAGATTACATTGAAACAATCAAAAAGAAGTCGGAAAGACGTGACTCCTGTTGAGTGTATGTGAGGGGCTTCCTCCAATACTGTAAGTTCCAGTACTCAACAATCCATAATGCCTGATTCACCTCAGACTCACATCTTGTCCTCCTGAGTACAGATGGTTGGTGGTTGTCCTCTCTGACTGGACATTACACTTTAAAGAGATTTAAGGCTGTACCTCCTGGTGGGGATCTATACCTAGAAAGCTTGATTGTTTTGGAGATGAGGCCATTGGTTTGTATTTGACGTTCCTTGAGTGATTCTGATATTTAGCAAGAATTCCAAAGTAGCTATCTGGATGCAGTCACATTTGGGCGCTTGATTGCAGTTCTAGAACTTCCTAACTTCTCAAGTTCCAGGAGAGCTCTTTCTTTTTTATGTGTACGGGTGTTTTGCCTATGTGTATGTCTGTGTACTGTGTACATGCCATTGCCATGTGTATGGGAGTGTGTGGATATGAATTCTTGTCCTGATGCTTACTCAGGCCAGAGGTGTAGGATTCCCCTGGTGTCAAAGTCAGAGGTGAATGCCAGCCACCTGATGTGGGTGATCGGAACCAACTCAGGCGTTCTGCAAGAGCAGTATACACTCAGCCACTGAGCCATCTCTGCAGCCCCCGTATTCTACTATTACTATACACTCAGCCACTGAGCCATCTCTGAAGCCCCAGTATTCTACTATTATTTAACTTTTTAGAATTAAAATACAATTTCATGATTTTTCCATTCGCCTTCCTTCCTCCAACTCCTCCAGTACTCCCCCATGCCCTCTAAAAATTCTGAACCTCCTCAGTTGTCACTGTTACACACACACACACACACACACACAAATATATATAAATGTAACCTGCTGAGTCCTTCCAGTGTTTCTGAATATATATGATCTCAGTGCTAAGCACATGGGATACTCAATTAGGGGCCTCATCACCGAGGGAAGACTATTTCTCCCACTCTGTGCATCACTTAGTTGTCTATCACTCTTTGTCTAGCAGTGGGATCCCATAAGATTTCTCCATTCTACATCTGCATGTCTATCTAGGTAGTCATATTGTTGACTTATCATAGGTGTAGCGTTCCTGTCATTTCTGTGACTTCTGGACCTCCGGCTCTTAGAGTCTTTCCATCTCTTCTTCTGCACTGTTTCCTGAGCCTTAATTGCAGAAATTGTGTTGCAAATGTACCCACCGAGGCTGGGCACCTGTTATTTGCATCTTGACCAGTTGTGCTTTTCTGTAATGATCCCTATCTGTTGCAAAGACAAGCTGATTTGATAAGGGTTGGGAGCTACACTCATCTGTGGGCATATAGATAAATATTCAGAATGCACATAGCCTTAGGTGAGTTAAGTGAAAGGGGTAAAGTAAACTCAAGGGCTTCACTTCTAATCATTTAGAAATAAAGGGGCCAGACCCTCACTCAGCCCCCTGCTATAGCAGCCATGACAGGTTACAGAAAAGACACGTAGGCCTCTGACACAAGGAAACTCCAGATCCTCTGGCCTCCCAGAACCTAGGGCCAAAACTGAACACAAAGAAACTCCAGATGCTGCCCTCCACCCAGCCTCCTAGATACTTGGTTCATGGGAACTGTTTGGCCACAAAAGAAACTCCAGGGGGGGCCAAAACCTCCCCTGTAGTCTCCAGGATATAGTTCTGAAAGCTATCAATATCCATGTACAACAGGCCACCTACAAGTAACAAGACAATGCCATAGAAACCACAGAATGTTCCCTCTCAGCACTGACCAATGAAAATAATTAGTATACAGGTATTTCATGCCAAAATATGACTTTAAGAAATTCTCCTGATTGTTCCCAAATGTCCACCAATCAGGAACCAACCATACCTACTGATGTAATCCTGTAACTTTTGTCTATAAAACCTAGCAATAGGCTGGGTGTTGGTGACGCACACCTTTAATCCCAGCACTTGGGAGGCAGAGGCAGGCGGATCTCTGTGAGTTCGAGACTAGCCTGGTCTACAGAGCGAGTTCCAGGACAGCCTCCAAAACAATACAGAGAAACCCTGTCTCGAAAAAAAAAAAAAAAAAAACCCTAGCAATAGACAGGGAACTTCACTCCCTCTGGGGACTGCTGCGACATGCGTGGATGAACAATCTTTAAACCTTGCTTTTGCAGTTTAGTGGGTCTGTCTTCCTGGTGGTCTCTGGGGACTTTGTAACTTGGGCACAACAACGGTTACTTTCTTTTTTTTTTCTGTTTTTTTTTTTTTTTTGGTTTTTCGAGACAGGGTTTCTCTGTGGTTTTGGAGGCTGTCCTGGAACTAGCTCTTGTAGACCAGGCTGTCCTCGAACTCACAGAGATCCAGCTGCCTCTGCCTCACGGGTGCTGGGATTAAAGGCGTGCGCCACCAACGCCCGGCAACAACGGTTGCTTTCTAAAGAGACACTTTAAATAGTTTATCCCAATTAAATGGGAATATGTATGTATGTATGTATGTATGTATGTATGTATGAGATCTGACAATAAGATTAAGCACAAAATATGATAGAAAGGCAATGGAAGAAACTTAACATTGCCTAGTCAAGAAACTTTGAAGAACCAGTGTCACTCAAGCTGGAGAGGATAAATCAATAGAACCTGTAAGTTATGCTGAAAGATGAAGGTAAGCGTGATGGCCCTGTTCTGAGTTTGTTACATTTACCCAATGAAGAGTTTCACTCCTTGACAGCCATAAAGAGATGTTATGGAAACTCAACAGTGATTTCTACTAAAAGGTTGGGAATCGAGGCAATGCTGTAGTGACTGAAGCTTGTTATTTATGCTCCTTAGATAGTTCTGCTAAAGGAGAAATGTGTAGACTCTTCAGTGCGATTGTGTGCATTTGATATGTCCTCTAGGTTAAGGTCTCATGGAGTACAATATTATAATAGACAGAAGCTAAGTGTTCTTCCTATCTGTGGTCTCTACCCACAGTATCTAATCTACACACCAGTCAACTTTAGTCTTCTGACAGAGTCCTACTCTTGTCCCTCTTTTCAAACGCCTCCAGGGAGTTACCAAGGGTTCCTCCTGTGAATGTGTTTTCTTTGTGTGATGTTTAATCTTTATGGTCAACTTGACTGAATGTAGAATCTCTATGGACAAACACTATGGGTAAGTCTATGAGGGTGCTTCCAGAAACAGGATTTAAGACTCACCTAAAAGTGGTGCTGCCATCTCATGGACTGGGGTCCCAGACTTTGCAGAGAGATAGGCAATAGCATTAACCTCTGTCCTCTGTCTAGGGAGGAGATAGGAGTAGCTGTCTCATGCTCCTGCTTCTGTGACTTCCAGACTGTGATAGACCATTCAGACTGATCCCAAATAAACCCTTTTTGTCCTTAAATTGCCCTTGTCAGAGCAATGAGCCAGCAACTGAAACACTGGGGAAGAAGGTACTGGGGATTAAACTCATGGCCTCAAAAATGTAAGAAAGTGCTCTGTGACTAAGCTATAGCCCTAGTCCATTTCTTGTTGTTGCTGTAGTTTGGTTTTGGCTTTTCAAGACAGGGTTTTTCGTGTAGCTTTGGAGCCTGTCCTGGCACTCACTCTATAGATCAGACTGGCCTTGAACTCACAGAGATCTGCCTGCCTCAGTCTCCCGAGTGCTGGGATTAAAGGTGTGTGCCACCACCTCCCAGCTTCCCTAGTCCTTTTTTATTTTGGCAAAAGATTTTATTAAGTTGTCTCAGCCAGCCTTGAATTTACAGTCATATTCATTAGTTTTCCAAGTAGCAGGCCTGCACCACTGGGCTGACTATAGGTCTTGCTAAATCTGTCTTCTGAAAATAAGCATAATTTTCAGAACAACTATGAGGAATCAAAGTAGCTACTGTTTCTGAGATGTTCCACAAACATGAGCATGTTGAACAAGTTGTAATATCATAGTTAGT